CATCACAAAAAGTGCACTACGTGGGTGAGTGGTTTGGGGAAAATAAGACTGTGCCCGACATTACAGTGGCTTGTGGAGAGTAATAAGGCCCTCTGAGAAGTTTATCACAGCAATAAGGACGAGTAAAAGTTCAGATGCATATTGTAAGCGGTGTGGCTACTTAGAAGATCAACAAAGATAAAAGTATCTGCTTACACAGAGACTGAGAGATATTGCACGCGCTCGCAAGCACGTAGAAAATATAAATGAATACCTATAGGCGTACAAGTTATTATGCCAGTGAGTTATAGCCCAACACAACCAAGATATATGTTTCCTGACACGCCTTTAAAACACGCCAAACCCTCCAGCATCGATCAATGCCTCGTCCTCACCCATCTCCTCGAGCCCATCCAGCTCACCTTGAACTGCCAATGGCTCGATTTCCTCGCCCTCAGCACCTTCTAAACCGTTCTCAGCGCCTTCTAAACCATCCTCAGCACCTTCTAAACCATCCTCAGCACCTTCTAAACCATCCTCAGCACCTTCTAAACCATCCTCATTCTCATCTGGCTCTGTCTCCCATTCGCCTTCTTCATCATCGAGTTCATCGTCAGAATTACCTAGCTCATACTCATTGCTCCCTCCTTCAACAGTGCGTCCACCTGGAGTCTTGTCTGCTTGCAGATATGGATCCCAGGCGCGAGATATTGTGTGGCCCACTCCACCTCCACAGTACCGCATAAGCATGTCTCTATCTGAAAACCTACAAGCAGAATGAGTTATGAGACAAGTAACAAGCAACATTTACTTACACTCCAATGTAATAACGAGCATATTCATCAATGGGAGTGGTTTTACTTGTGCCGAAGTGCAACCGAGATGCGGATGAAGGGACTGAGGGACTGGGAATCTGGTCTGCATCAAATACAGGTAACAAGTGGACGCCTCGAACAATCGTGCTAGGATCAATAAAATCCCAGCATGCTGACATGCCGAGAGGAAAGAAGGAAACACAGTGAGGGCGGCGAGCCTCAAAGCCGCTTGGATAACTTGAGTCCTTCCGAAGCCAACGGACGAGTACAATGTCCATTTGGCACCGCTTAGAGCGATCCTCGCGGTCAAAGTGGACATTAACGTGAAAGATATACATGATACGAGCATACCAGTATGGGTGAGAATCAGTGTCGCCAGGGGTGTCTTGTGAAAGGACCATAATATCAGCTCTAGATGAGCGGGGGTTGACAGAATCTTGCTCTCGACGAATATCATATGTTGTGTAGTTGATACGGAGAGTCTTGTGCTCGTATAAACGATCGTCATCGATGATTACTGCATCGAGCTGGTTTTCGGTATAGTTAACTGTGTCATTGGGCTCGAGGTGTGGAAGGTTAATGTAGTCCGGTACATTGCCTTTTTCGCGAAGACGATCAAGGATATGGGTCTTGAGGCACGGTATGAGCTCCTATAAAATCACAAAATGGGATAAAAGCTGGCAACAGCACAAACAAGAGCTGAGACTCACCGTTGTGTCAATGCACAATGATTCATGCATAGTCTCAGCGAACTCGCTGAGAAGTAATGTAACGCGGGCCTTGCGAGAAATAAAGTAGTGATCCTGAGGATCAGTACACATGCGCTCAACGTCCGCAGACTCAGAAGGGTTTCCTGCGGAGGGATTGCTCTCTGGATTAGCGAGAAAATGGCGTAGTTTGTGAATATAACGGCTGCGTGCATTGAGCCGAGTCATGGCAGGCAACATGGAGTCGTGTTTTTTGCCAGTGAATGGATAACCTTGTTTTGAGGAGCAGTGCTCGAGTTCGCACTGTAAAGCTTGAGTCGGGGAAAGGGATAATTTCAGAGTGACTTACATGCAGGGAATTATAGCTGTCCGTTGTTCCGTAACGTCTGATGTGATTGACGTAGTCACCAAGAACATGGAACTTGTAGGTATTCACATTCAGCTTCTTCCGCTTGGCGTCTACTGACACATCAGCTGCGCGGCCTTTCCCCTTTGACCTAGCTGCTTGAATTGCAGATTTAGTCAGTGCTCGGCGCCCTCGAGCTGATGTCTCATTGGGGAGCTCGCGAGTATCATAGAAAGGGCAAACATGACGGAGGAACTTGCGCACAGATGCACTTAAGTCAAATGTTGCATGCTCGAGTTGATCAAGAGAGTCGTCCGTGTGAAGGCGAAGTTTGGCTAGTCCATGCCAATTTGCAAGATAAAATAGCATATCGAGAAGGATTAGATTGTGCTCTTCATCGGGCAGGATGCCCTCAAACACTGGTATAGCGCACTAGAAACTGTGTAAAAATGAGCGTATGAGTTTCATAGATAAATATCACCTGGAGCATGTCTTCAAAGTCGCGTGCAGCAAGCTGTTTCATGTCACAAACATTGCCTGGAAACCGTCGTATTGTTCCTCGTCCAAATGGAGGAATTTTGCGATAGCTGGTAATGTGTCAGGGACAAAATCTGGCTAGTAGAAAGCAAACTCACCGAGAATTGACCTTTACAGCTGCAGAGCCTCCAACAGCAAGTAAAATGCGAACAAGGTGAATGAAAATTGCCTTCCATACACCCAGTTCAAACTCATGCAGCAGGTCGACAACGAAAAGAGAAAAGAAGTTGACACCTTGCTCAAGCAGAAACTCGGAGAAAGCGTTCTGCAGGCTCCATAAATGAGACAATCAAGACAGAATAATACGAATGGCGGCGTACCAGAGTTGGCACATAAGAGTGCGATGTTAGAAGTGAAGAAATGCGAGACGATTTAATGGAGTACCCCTTCTTGAAGATCCTAGTACGAGCTCTCTGGATAAGGTCTTGACGTTGAGTGCTATCAATGCGGTGTCTAATGCGCCGTTGCATGTCCAACTTTGTTCCCATCTCCCCAAGATAGCGCTTGGGGGTTAGACAACGTGGACATGGCATCTGGCCCAAGAATTTGAGCGTGCATAGGATCATCCTCAGATGCATTGTTTAGTTAGTAACACTAATGCACGGATGAGTTAAACACATACTTCTCAGGGTAGTCACCTGTATATGTGAAAAATCGAATTAGAGCTCGACGGATGATACCGTCACCACACTGCGCCACAAGTCCCTCAGTATAAGCGCGTCTGAAGTCCTTATCCTGCAGAAGAATACGCCAGATTGCTTGTACAAGCTCACGTTTGAGGTGAGTGTGAACATCTGTTGTGGGTGGTTTACCATAGATCTTCTCATACTCGTGTTGCCAGCCACTGGGAAGCTATTATACAATTCAGTGTCATAAAGGGAAAAAAGACAGAAACTCCACATACCTTTGGAATATACGCAAGGTGATGGCAAGCTTTGGCTGAGGGTTTGCCACGTGTATACTTCGACTGATTACCAAGTTGCATATAAATTGGCCAGAGTGAAGCTTCGCCAAAGTTTGCAAGGCGGGTTGAATCAGACCAGAGCATGATAGATACCACCATGCGCTCGAGACCATCGTTAGGAATGCGGGAGTCGTGTTGAACTTCGTGAAAGGCATCCAAGCAAGCATCAGAACTATATGCCTCTGAGTAAACTCGAATATCACGTCCGTCAGAAGTTTTCCAGCGCTGCTCGAATGGTGTGGTATTGTATGTTGTTGAGACTGTGGGGTCCTCAAGTGCGGCTTGAATGACACTGGCGATCTTCCGGTGATAGATGCCATTGACCTCAAGTGTGGGTACATTGGCCTCTCCACCGCGTGTTGCTTTCCCTTCAAAAGGGAGAGGGATTTTGACCGACGATTCCTGCCAGCCATTCTCCTCCCGAAAAGGCGTTGCTATTTGTCTTCAAGAACTCGTCAAAACGAGCGGCCTCGGCATAAGCATCAAGGCCATTGAGTTCGTCTTGTTTGAACAGGGGATTGCGAAGGAGATTGATCAGATCATTTATATCGCTCAGAGATTTGTGCCGGGTCCCAGAGTGAGCGTACGTCATCAGAATACCTGCAGTTGGGTTCGAAAACGGCGCCATTGCCTCAGCAGAGCTGATATTGGTGGCCTGAGGTGCACCAGACGTCTCTGATGATGTTGTGGGCTGGTTTACAGGGTCATGGTGAAGTAGAGGAGCGTCAGATACACTGTGAAGAGTGTCGAGAGGATCCTGAGTGGGCTTCGCTGCATAGATACGATATAAACCGAATTTATTGATCTGTGATGTGAACTGTTCAGGTACATTATGATATTCTGGTTCTGGGACGGGAGAGGGAGTGCGAGATGGAGCAGGAGGGGCATTATGAACAAGTTGCCGAGAGGACAAAGGCATGTGTGAAAGATGGGTCGAGCTACTGGGGAGGAGATCTCGAAACCGCGCTGGCATCCGAAGAGGGCGCCCTGAGCGCTCTGATACACGAATCTGCTAGGGATTAATAAGAGAGACCAACTGTAGGTGTTTCAATTACTCACTTCTGGCGCAGGCAATACTGCCTGGTTCGTCTGGATGTCTGAGACTTCAAGACTAGTACCAGATGGCCCTGGGGTTGGAGGTAAAGACCTCTGTGCACGCGGAGGGGTGGATTCGAGACGCAACCGGAGCGCTGCAACTGTATACAGGTCATCTCGTGAGGATGCTGCATGCGGGCATGTCCTGAGGTGTAGACTGAGACCAGCTGCACCCTTGAAGTCACGCTCACAGGGCTCGCAGCGAGCCTTTTGTCTTCGTGTGGGTGGCATTGAATTCAAGAATTATGATATAGGAGGTTGTGATGGTGTTGGCTTGGCCAAGATGCGGCACTGGCGACTGGACTCGGTCAAGCTCAATCAAGCTCAGCTGGCCATTTTTAGAAGCACCGGACCAGGGACAGTGAATAATGCATTGGGTTCTTCACACACCTAAAGCACAAAATTGATTACATGCTTTAGATGTGCGAAGAACTTCTGCTGGGTGCAACGTCAGCCTGTAAATAGCCCGGGATGCATAAGAAGCATCTCTGGATGCATCGACGCACTTGCCGAGAATGCTTCTCACCGGCATGTCCAAAAATGGCAGTGCTGATCACCAGTTTTGGACACACAATATTAACACACCTCGGATCACCGAGAACGCCGGATGCTGCTCGCTTAAAAAGCGCATCCATGATGCGCTTTTTAAGCGAGCAACACCAAGCACATCAAAATATTAAATAACATAGCAGGAGCAAAATACTTGCCTGTAAGCCTTTTGTCACAAATACCTTTCAGTGTGCAGGTAAGGGATTAAATTTGACATCACAAAGCACTGCACTCGTATACTGGAAAGCTGGCACGAAGCTTTTGTTAGATAGAAGTTCATCTTGTATTTATAGACATAGTTTTAGCTACTTTGGGCAAATGCCCGCGATCTGCAACTGGTGTGACCAAGACGCATCACGACTTTTGCTTTTGTCATGATTTTACAGTCGCTCATAGCACTCACTCCTTGTCTCTTACCACCACCATGTCCCGTCGCAAACGCAGTCCCACCCCCGCTCCATCTCGTTCCCCCTCCCGTCCTCGCTCTGCTTCCCCTCACCATCGCCGAATTGTCAAAAAACGTCACTTAGACAAGTCAGAGCCATCTTCTGGCACGTCTCATGGCCGCCGCTCATCACCTCCACCACCCAAGAAGGCCAAAAACAGCCACCAGAGCGAAGAAACCTCTCGCTCTGACCTAGTCTTGTCTAAAAGGTTAGTGTCTTTGTTTCTCATTGTATGTATGTATCACTAATGTACATCTAGACTGTCAAAGGAGTGCATTCACTTCGCACAGTTCATCACACGGAGTGGAGGTTTGTTCTCCAGGGTTGAAGAGATCCTTCATATCGCTGTCGATCGAGCGCTCTGCAGGGAGTTTGAGGACTACACCACCACCCTACCGCCTCATCTCAAGGAAAAGGAGAGGCGCATGTAAGTTTCTTTCAATAATTTTGACCGCTGATCAGTGGGCTGACTATATGCACTGTTCTAGGACTGCTGAGGCGCGTGCATGGCACGACATGATATATGCACACATCAAGGACAACTGCCCGCTCTTCTACGATCTCATTCGTACCGATGGGAGGCGTGATGAACTTTTCAAGCGTATCGATGAGGTGAGTGCTGAGTATATGCGAGTATTCTCATACCTAATAAACATTTCAGATGCAGTCAATTGCTTCTGAGACGCGGTCGAACGATTTCAACGGCTTCAAAGAGTATCTTGGTCGTTATGCTGTCGCTGACATTGATTCACAGAAGGTTCTCGAGCCCTTTGTTGGCAAAGGTACGAAGCGCAGGACCATGGGCTTTAATCATGACGATCTCGCCCCTCTCCTGTGTCCCATCACTCACATTGACGAGTACTTGGCCAATCGTGATGGGTGAGTGCAATTTCAATGTTTTATTATTCTCCCCTGACTCAAAGCTGCAGAACGCAGGCCAAACTTAAAAATGGCAAGATCAAGGTCACGCACAGGGACCTGCCCGCGTTTACCTATGCAGGCGACACTCCCGGCGAGGACTTCAACCCGTCAAACGTCAAGGAGGGAATATTTGGTGGCTACATGCTCGAACGTGTGAGTACCTATTCCGTTTCCATAGTATTCATGCCACTGAAGAGTCACAGTATGCAAAGCATCTGTTCGTTGCCCCGAGCGCAGCCACAGAGAGCGAGCCTGTGCCCCTTACCAACCGCAGCAATGCCGTGTTGATGCGCTGCCCCCAGATCATTCCCGAACACCTTGCATATCTCACAATTGCGGTAAGCCGTTGTCTGACGAGATTTTTGGTGCTGATTTCTGGTCTGCCACAGATACGGGGGGCCGCAACGTCTCAGGGAAAGTGGGGCGCCAAAGCAGATGTGTCATATAACTGGCAGGCGGCGCACGGTCACATCCTCAAGATGGTTCGCCTCCCGAAGTTCAAGCGTGTCATTGATAAGGCTGTCCGCAGTCTGAACAAGTAAGTTGTTACTCTGTTGTCATCTACCCTACTACAGTTTCCCTCCAGGAAGGTATTCGGACATGAGGATGGTGCTAAGAGCCTCGACGTCGACTCTGACGACTCTGACGACGAGTCAGACAGCGAGAACGTCTTCTCACTCCTGGATGCTCAGCTCAGAGCGTCCGCAGACTCTGGCGATGACAGTGACAGCGACAAGACTGCTTCACGGGCCAAGCATTCAGACGTCACCCTGCAGATCCAGGACACTGAAACTGCACATTTTGAGGTGGAGCTCGCTGTGGTGAGCAATGTCCACTCTTGAGCATCCTTTACTGACTTTATCTGAAGCATTGCTCCTCAACCTCTCCCCCGCCTCGACGTGCAACGTCAGTGTTTGATGAGTACGAGTACGATGAGGAACAAGAAACCGAGGTGAGCACATAATTATTTTGCTTGCGCTTCGTTATCACTAACACATGCCTATATACATTAGCCTACATCTCTGCCATCGAGCGTCTGCTCGCAGTACTCTCGCAGAAATGAGCGCTCGCCCACACAGACCGCGAACGTCGAGCGCAGCAAAGGTAAAGCTCGCGAGGTTGAGGCTCCCCGTGCCGAGGTGGAAGACGACTCGGTGACACAGCACATCCGGCCCAACCCCAAGCAGTACCAGAGCAAGACTGGTGCCCTTGATGCACGCAAGGCCATGTCACCCTCTCAAGACCATCGCAAGTCTGCCAAGGGTCCCGGTCAATCATCAAAGCATGTTATCCCTTCGATGCCCACTCGCCGCTCCAGCAGACGCACTGCCAAATCGCCACCTCCCCCAGCGCATCGTGATGCGCCATCAAACCTCTTCAATGATGACGAGGATCTGACGGAACCTGAGGACGAGGCGCTGCCCCCTCCCGCACCAAAGAAGGTCAAGAAGTCGACGAGGTCTCGACAGTAAATGTACGTGTCCACACTTATATTCATATTCATCTACTTGACCCTCGCTTGGTAGGCTTTAATACCCGTGTTTTTCCTCACTTTCTACCTGCATGTATATGCTTCGTGTATCGTCCATCAGTTTTTTATTCTCATTGCTCTCTTCATGTAGTCTGCCTGCCTGTATCGTATCATTGCATGTGTAGTCGGATCACCATGTATTCTAACACAAAAAATGTATTATCTTGTTATTGGTCAATGTGCGGCGTGACATGCAAGTTCTCTAAGTCCTTATTTGGTCGACATCAGTTCATGACAGCAATAAGATGTGTTGATACTTGTAGGCTTCATAGCTTGGTATACAATACTCATAGCTTGCAATTGATCACTAAGTTTATGGCCCGCCTACAGAACCTAGCCCAACTTACAAGATATGAGTAAAATTCTCAAAATGGAGGTTACAAATATGTACTACGAAGCTACTAAATTTCAAGCGAGACGTACATTAGTTCTGAGTGCTTCTAGCTCTTATACTGAGCTTATAATCCGAGTGCGCTTTTTGTGATGT